TTTGTTTTTTTAGAGAAGTGGCCCAGCTTTCTCGGACTGTCCGAGACACCCAGGACCTAAGGGAGAAGCCAGGCTTAGTCTCAGAGGTGCTCTCCTTCACGCGTAGCTGGGCGCCCCCCCCCCCCGAAGCCGCCTCCCTCCCTCTGCGCTGTGCGTGGTGGCCGCGGCCGGCCCAGATGTCACCGCTGAGGAACATCAGGAACTCAGCCGGTATTGGCGAAATTAAATCGCCCCGGGAAAAAAATCGATGTTAGTGAAATTAAGTCACTTGCTCTTAAAAGCCAAACAGAATGGCCGTTCTTCATATTTACGGGGCTGTTTCCTCTCTCTAGATCGCTACCAATTAAGTCACTTGCTCTTAAAAGCCAAACAGAATGGCTGTTCTTCATATTTACTGGGCTGTTTCCTCTCTCTAGATCGTTACTGTTCTTTGTGTGTGTGTGTGTGTGTGTGTGTGTGTGTTTGTGTGTTTAATCCTCACCCGAGGATATTTTTCCACTGATTTTTACAGAGAGTGGAAGAGAGAGGGAGAGACAGAGAGAAACATGGATGTGAGAGAAACACATCGATTGGTTGCCTCCTGCAATCAAACCCGGGGAATTTGGTTCATGGGCTGACGCTCTGTCCACTGAGCCACACTGGCTAGGACTGTGTGTGTGTGTGTGTGTGTGTTATGTCCCTTTCAAGGAGAAGCAGTGATGGACACAGATGACCCAGGAGGCTTTTAGATCTTGGGGATCCAGGGCTAGGTCACAGGTTGATGAATCAGAAAGGACTCATCCAACGTCTTAGCACCGATTAGCTGCAGGAAGAGACCAAGTGCAGCTGAACGATGACTCAGAAGGCAAGTTAGGGCCTCGCCGCCGTACTCTCCTGCTGTCAGGGGTGTCGGTTACATCATTCCCGTCACTCGGCCGGGATGGCCCAGCGTAGAGCTGCAAGGATAGTCAGCAGACCCTGCGTGATAGGGAGATTCTTTTTATAGAGAGAGATTATATTGTTATTGATTGCAGAGAGGAAGGGGGACAGAGAGAGAGAGAAACATCAATGATGAGAGAGAATCATGGATGGGCTGCCTCCTGCACGCCCCCCACTGGGGATCAAGCCTGCAACCCGGGCATGTGCCCTGACCGGGAATCAAACCGTGACCTCCCGGTTCCTAGGTGGACACTCAACTGCTGAGCCACGCCGGCCGGGCTCAACTGGCAACATTTCTAAGTCATTAGCTATTAATTATATTTAGATGGTACAGTTCTCATCTCTATGGTCCTGTATTTAGTCTCCACACGGAGCCAAGCCAGCCGGGCCCCAATCCCTTCGCCCTGGGTTGCTCACCCGCGTCCGGTTCCCATAGAAATCTCCCCAGCCCTCCTCCCTGGGAACCCTCACAGGCTTGGTGTCTACCCCACTTCCCACTGCATCTCGGGGACCCAGGGCTAGTTCACAGGTTGGTGAATCCCTGCTCCATCATGCCTGTCCCTTGTATGTGGTCCCACTCACTCCCTTCTCTTTTAAAGTGTGGACACAGCCCGGCCGGCTGGCGTGGCTCAGCGGTTGATTGTCGACCTAGGAACCAGGAGGTCAGGGTTCGATTCCCACTCAGGGCACAGGCCCGGGTTGCAGGCTCCATCCCCAGGAGGGGGCGTGCAGGAGGCAGCCGATCCGTGATCCTCATCATTGATGTTTCTCTCTCTCTCCCGCTCCCCCTTCCTCTCTGAAATCAATAAAAAACAGATTAAAAAAAATAATAAAATGTGGACACCAACCCAGTTTGGGGGGCTCGCCTCTGGACCCTTGCTCTACTAAGCCTGCCTGAGTGTGGTCCAAGACCGCCTGGATATTTTATTTTTTTATTTTTGCAGTCACAACACCCCGTTATCACACCCAGAAATTGTATCCAATTAAATCTCCCAAGCCTTGTTCGCACCTCCTACACGTGTGCCTTTCTTTTCTTTCTTCTTCTTTTTTTTTTTGCAACCAAGTGTCCAAACACATAACTTCCTCTCGATGGCAACCCCCATCTGTTGATCTTTTTAGCTCTCGCCTCTGTCGCGCAGCGCCTTTGCCGTCTCTCCCGGGAGCTTGTCCTCCTGGGATTAGATAAACATTTCCCTTCTGCCTTCGTCCAAGCGATTGATAAAAAATGACGATGGGTCGGGGTGCGGAAAGGGCCCTGTGACCTTCCCTGGGCGGAAGGATTTCTCTGGGTGGGGCTGCTTCCCCATGCGCCTGCACCGCCGTCTGCTGGCTGCACGGATTCACCTGGTGGAAGCGGGGTGCTGCCCACCTGGCTGGTGGTGTGGAAGGCTGTCCCCCCCGAAGGTGTGGTTGTGTGGCTCCCTGGGGAGGGCATAACCAAGGGATTCTAGCTTTTGTGTGCTCATTCACCCCAAAGGTCACCAGAGCCCGGCCGGCGTGGCTCAGTGGTTGAATGTCGACCTATGAACCAGGAGGTCACGGTTCGATTCCCGGTCAGGGCACATGCCCGGGGTTTGCGGGCTCGATCCCCAGTAGGGGGCGTGCAGGAGGCAGCGGATTCATGATTCTCTCTCATCATTGATGTTTCTCTCGCTCTCCCTCTCCCTTCCTCTCTGAAGTCAGTTAAAAATATATATATATATTTTAAAAGTTACCAGCCATCAGAACTGGGAGTTATGAGATAGCATCTGAGCGCACTTTTAAAATATGGAGACTTATAGAATATTGCACTTTGGGCAGTTTAAGATCAGAACGGAATTTGGAATAGCCGTCAGAGCAGGCAGGGTTTTGTGGGTTTTTTGAGGGGGGACCCAGGAAAAGAGCTGGCGCCCCTCAGTTGCGGCAAACACCGGCTTTCTTTTGGCTCCGTATCCTGTAGGGGGTGGGGACACGGGGGCTTGTGCTCCCGCCCCTCGTCGAGTGACTTCTGGGTAAAGTTTCGCTTCTTCAATGAGGAGGCGGCATGTAAACATCTGCCCCATCTTTGTAAGTTCTTCCACACATGGTAGCACTGGGCGTTAACCTTCCCAAACTGTACTTTCTCTAGGCATTTTTTAAAAAATTGGTTTTGAGAGGGGGAATGGGGAGGAAGGGGGGGGGGAGAGAGATGTTGTTTTACTTATATATGCATTCATTGGTTGATTCCTTTTTGTTGTTGTTATTTTGTTTGTTTGTTAATTCTCACCAGAGGGTATTTTTTCCCATTGATTTTTTTTTTAGAGAGAATAGAAGGGAGGGGAGAGGAGGTGAAAGAGAGGGAGAGAGAGAGAAACATGGATGTGAGAGGGCCACATTCATTCATTGCCTCCTGCATGTGCCCCAATCAGGGCAGGGAATCGAACCCAAAATCTAGGCATGAGGCCCTCGACCGGGAATCGAACCCATGACCCTCCGGTGCGCAGGCTGACGTTCCAGCCACTGAGCCATGCTGGCTGGGACCATGGGTCGAGTCCTGTACACACTCTGATCGGGGATTGAACCCACCACCTCGGTGTATCAGGAGGATGCCCTAACTAACTGAGCTACCCGGCCAGGGCCCGGACTACCTCCCTCTTCTGCGTACCTGAGCTGTTCGGTTCTGGTTCCAAGTAGGACAGGGATGGCTCTCGCGGGGGGCCCCGGAGAACAGTTTCGCCGTTGACAATGACTGACGCTTCTTGTTTAATTTCCTGCTCCCAGCGTTCCCCCGTGAAATGCAATCCCTCGCTTACATCCTCACGATTGCCTCCCGTTCCTGAACGTGCCAGGTGGCGGGGACGGTTGTCTGCGGGAGAGACGCATGTATATATACAATGTAAACACGTTCCCATTGACACGTGAAGATAAAAGGCTTAACATGAACTGCCTCTGTTTACACTGAACACAGAAAATTCCACTCCAACAAATTCGACGATAGCAGTATCAGTGTTTGTTATCATAACAGCATCTCCAGCCCCATCTTTTTTTTGTGCTTTTTTTTTTTTTTTTTGGAGTTGCAGTGTACTGAGTAGGCGTGGGTGGAAGGAAAGCGATGCCGTTTCCCTCTGCACGTGGAGCGTTTGCTCAGATCTGGGGGCAGGGGGGGGGGGCAGGGACTGCCGATTCAGCAGCCTCGGGGGCCATGGGCTCTAGGGACACTCCCTCTCCACCCCTTTTTCTTTCTTCTTCTTCTTTTTTTTTAACCCATTAAGCACAGTGGAAATATGACTTTTTAAAAATTATTTTTTTATTGATTTCAGAGAGGAAGGGGGAGGGGGAGAGAGAGAAACATCCATGATGAGAGAGAATCATGGATCGGCTGCCTCCTGCATGCCCCCTACTGGGGATGGAGCCGCAACCCGGGCGTGTGCCCTGACCAGGAGTGGAACCGTGACCTCATGGTTCACAGGTCGATGCTCAACCACTGAGCCACACGGGCAGGGCTTGTCTTATTTCTTAATGACAATCTAGTCCTGAAAGCGGGCCACCTCATGAGTTGGAAAATCGATTTCAAAGTGACTTCCTTTTGCCCTGGCTGGTTTGGCTCAGTGGATAGAGCATCGGCCTGCAGACTGAAGGGTCCCAGGTCCGATTCCGGCCAAGGGCAGCACCTACCTCCGTTGCAGGCTCCATCCTGGCCCTGGTTGGAGTGCGTGGAGAAGGCAACCAATCGATGTGTGTCTCTCACATCAATGTTTCTCTCTCTCTCTGTCTCTCCTCTTCCCTTCCACTCTCTCTAAAATTCAATGGGAAGCCCTAGCTGGTGTGGCTCAGTGGACAGAGCATCAGCCTGTGGACTGAAGGGTCCCGGGTTCCATTTCCGGTCAGGGCCCATACCAGGGTTGAGGGCTCCATCCCCAGTAGGGGGCGTGCAGGAGGCAGCCGATCCATGATTCTCTCTCATCATCGATGGTTCTCTCTCTCTCTTCGTTTCTCTGAAATCAATGAAAACATATTTTTGAAAAAAATCAATGGGGAAAATATCAACAACAACAACAACAACAAAATATAAGTAACGACCTGTCACTCACGCGCGTCCCCGCCCCCTTGTGTCCCCTCTGCAGTCTGCGGCCCCGGCATCGACATCCGCAACGACTTCCAGCAGCTGAAGCGCCTGGAGAACTGCACGGTGATCGAGGGCTACCTGCACATCCTGCTCATCTCCAAGGGCGACGACTACCGCAGCTACCGCTTCCCCAAGCTCACGGTCATCACCGAGTACCTGCTCCTGTTCCGCGTGGCCGGCCTGGAGAGCATCGGCGACCTGTTCCCCAACCTCACGGTCATCCGCGGCTGGAAGCTCTTCTACAACTACGCCCTGGTCATCTTCGAGATGACCAACCTCAAGGACATCGGCCTGCGCAACCTGCGCAACATCACCCGCGGCGCCATCCGCATCGAAAAGAACGCCGACCTCTGCTACCTGTCCACCGTGGACTGGTCCCTCATCCTCGACGCCGTGTCCAACAACTACGTGGTGGGGAACAAGTCCCCCAAGGAGTGCGGCGACGTGTGCCCGGGGGCCCTGGAGGGGAAGTCCACCTGCGACCGGACCACCATCAACAACGAGTACAACTACCGCTGCTGGACCCAGGACCACTGCCAGAAAAGTAAGGGCCGCGCTGGGCTGTGCCGGCTTCCTTTCTGCTCCCCTCCCCCCCACCCCGCATCCCGCATCCCGCCCCCTCTCTCCTCGCCCTCCCTCCTCTTCCACTTGCACGGCTCGGCTCACTTGCGCTGGGCGGTGGGTGGGGTTGTCTTGCATGTAGGACCCGCCGTGGAAGGGGTTTGGGGGGGACTCAGGGGACTCAGGGGATGCAGGGCGTGGTGTGGTTGCCATGGAGACCATGTCAATCACACGCTAGAACGGCGATGGCGAACCTATGACACCCGTGTCAGAGGTGACAGGCGAACTCATTTTTTTGGTTGATTTTTCTTTGTTAAATGGCATTTAAATAGATAAAATAAATATCAAAAATATAAG